TACGCTTCGCTTATCTCACGCACGGTCAGTGGCTCGTTGCTACAGGAAATCTATGGATCGTGCTTGCGCGCCGTGCTTCCTAGCACATTCGTTGTCCTACCACGTTACGCTCTTTCGCGCTTTGCTTCCGAAGTTACGCATACATATATAGGGACGAAATTTTCAGTTTACTCTCATCTTCTCAACTGCCTCGCTGAAACGTACTCAAACTTAAAAAAAAAAAAAGAACAGAAAATGCTATTAGAACGCGTTGGCCAACAGAGAAAGAAATGATAAATGCTCAACAAGTGACTGAAGCAGATGAGTGGATTTTCATCCGCAGGCTGGCCTTGAATTTGTCCTACAGCCGGTTATTAAGGTCGTAAAACTTCGGGACTTCATCAGGTGTCAGGCTCGTGACTGGAATGATCTAGGCTGAAACTGGTTGCTCGGTTGGCAGTTCAGTCGCTAATCCAGCCTCGACTATCTCACTGCTCTATCGTTTTCGAGGGTGGCGCGGCCTGGCGTGTTGCGTACGTGTGTCGTTATGAAAATGCGTGGTTCACCGGTCGCTGGTATCTCGTGAATATATTACAAGGTGGTTGCACGTGCAACACCGTTTGCCTGCACAACCTTGCAGTCAAGTGACACGAGCCAAAGGGAACGGGCTTACCGTCACGTAAAATAGATCAAGTTTACACGACGTTAATCGAATCATCATACAGAGGCCGTTTTCCTCTCTGTCGCCCTAAATCTTTCCCAACGGTGTCGTCGATACGAGAACGTTTGTAGCCAGGTTTGTGCCTCCCCCTGCCTCTGCGGGATTATTCCACACCGTGTCTCCGCTCGCGGAAACAGCGTTTCGTGAATCTCTGCTCAAGTTCGCACGAGGATTCCGTCGCGAGGTACCGTCTTGAGCTGGGAAATTTATTCGCAATTGTTTACCGAGGTATTACGCGTCGTTTGAGTAAACTTGCTTTCGTTTACTCAATGTTTTCATTTCAATTCAGCACAGCTGTTTTATCGTGTAATTTTCATTGCGCTAATATTCGACTCGGCGGAGAGGATGTTGTTACGTTTCGATTGGTCTGAATGCTTCACTCGTACTACTTCATCGACATTGCGCTAGCATATGTATTATATCATAACACAGATATTCAAACGTTTAATGATAGAAAAAAAATGCAAGATATGATGTAATATGTCAAAGTAAAATCTGTACGAGTTGTTACATTCAATCCTCATGTAATGGAGATTCATTCGTTGAACGTTTTAAACGTATTCGACGTCTAAGAGATATTACCTGTTCATGTATTCATCATAAAGGGAAACTTAATGACGAAAAAGTACAGAATATAACGTAGTATGCAAAAATCTTTATTCAATCGTCCCAATTCTTATCTAGTGGAGATTCAATCGTTATTATATTATTATCATAAACGTTGAATGTTTTATCGTGCAATGTAGTTGAACGATCGTTCGACATTTGAGTGATAAACATTACATCACCAACATAACACGATTGTTCGTATATAATATTCAAGAAAAATTTCATGATAAAACACGTAGATATCTTTGTCCAATTTTCCTAATCCTTAGTCAATGAATGTTCAGTCGTTATTACTACGGAACGTTAAATGTTTCGATCGTGCAGCGCAGTTGAGCGATTATGCATATATTCGTCTAGGAGATCAGCCTCGTAGGAGCAAATATCGATTATCCGCTAATTTAATCAATAGGCGCGTGTAAAATTGAAAACTAGAATTCCTAATCAGTCGGCGCGGATCCTATTCCGCTCGCGGTAGCACGAATCAAAGCAAAGCTCGTTTCAATAATTAATAACGCTTTGTTTCGTGCAACTGTGCTACCGAGGCTGCCTCGTGGCTGGCATTAGATCCGTGGGGGGCGATAATTCATAGAACTGCAACTGCGTATTTCCACCTGCGATGAACCTTTGTGGTATCGCTCCTGCCTTTGTGAGATTCAACCTAACTATATGCAGTTATCGTTGTTGCCGCGCCTAGAAAGCAATCACGGCCCTTCGTATATACATATATATGTATATATATATTTCCCCGGTGCGCCGTCTCTTTGCTCGTTCGTACTGTTTAGTTCGAAAATTCATTAACAGAAGTAATTAGACAGAACGGTACGTTCGGTGAGCAAGGGTCGAGCAAAGCAGAAACGAGCAACGATTTAATTCCTCCGTTTCTCATTCGCAATAAAACCGGGTACACGCGAGCCACCGGTCGGGAAAGTTTTGCGTCACTGCGTGCTTCATTAAACCGGTGGGACTATTATAAAAAATTGTAAGTTTGGACTCGACAAACTTCTTTCTCCGATGAGAAGACTCAGGTGTATTTGAACGACAAAGAGATCGGTAACAAATCTGGATAGTCAGAGAAGTGAAAGGAATGTTTCACGTTTCGACGAAGAGCAATTAATAATTTTCAAATCGAAGCTTCCCGTTGGAGTGTCAATTGCTTGAAAAACTTACCTCTCGGTCCCCAATAACAGGCTGTGGAATTAGAAAAGATCAGTTTGAACTTCTGCTGTCTTAGAAAACATTTGGCGAGGGCATATTATCATCGACACTTGTCGAATTAACTCTTAATCGACGATAAAAAAAAAAAGAAAAAGGAAAAAAAGAAACTGGCGATCGTCCAATCGCTACCGCGCACGAACGAACATTTCCACGAAAGAATATCGCGAGCAGAGGGACAATGATAACTCGCGCAGCAGACCGCGACGAAAAATCCGCGAGCGTAAACCGATTTTATCGGCGCCTGAAACGAAAACGTAGCCGTGATACACGTACGCTTTTAACGATTTGCTTTTTACATTCGCCCCGATCGGCTACAAGCTTTTTCTCTTCCTCTCTTCCTGTTTTTTTTTTTTTTTTGTTTTTTTGTTTTTTGTTATTTCCATACACCGCCGACACCGCGTTATATAAATTCATCTGACTGGTTGCGTTACGGGATTTAATAACGACGGTCGGCTGGTGCAACGTCCGAAATTGAATGCAACTATAATACTACCGGGAACCCGATCGGTTTAGCAAAATCGGCATGCAATCCTGAATGAAGAGCAACAATGAACACCCTCCATATGAATACGCAACAATGAAACCTCTGAAAAAGCAACTAGAAGACATCAATTTCTGCTTTGTCTCTGAATAACAGCTCCCGTGATGCGGAACCACCGCCATTGTCCGATGAATTTGCCACGTTCTCCGACGTAAATGGCGCGAATCGTGAAAGTCCGGCGTGAAACTAAGCTCGTCTTTTTCGAGAGCTCGGGTAATGGGATGATCGAGTAACCGAGCTATACCGAGCTATAGCGAGGTTATATCGAGGGAAAGTAAAATATGATTATCCTCGAGGAAGAGATCGGCGAGAACGATGGAAACGTTCGGACGTTCCCTTTCACGGCGGCTTCTCCCCAGCAAGTAGAACCAGTTATGACAGTCGAGCAACAATTAAGGGATATCAATATCTATTTCCACAAAGCGCGGCAGCCAGCCGCTTTCGAAGCCTCGCCGGCAATAATTCACTCGGCTGGATCGCTTATTCACGCTGAATTTCATCTTCGTCTGTGCGGCTCGGCCCTCGGCGTTTCAAGTCGATCGTCTTGAAACCTCGAGCACGATCGAGTTTCATAACAATGCGATGGTTTCGAGCGAAGCCACCCCCAAGTCGATACTCGCCACAGTATAAACGACAGCGTCGAGAGGGTTATCAGACTTTGAACTTTTAACTTGCCTTTTAACTTTGACGCAGCCAATCGTACGCCCGTCTGTTTCATTCGATCCGATTCTCACTGTCAGATTTGTAACGTTATCGACGTAGCGAGCGGCGCGGTATAATCGACTCTCGCGTTGTTTCGAATCGCGAAATCATGCCATCGACGCTTATTACGACGGTAATATGCATCAGTGTCGTAAAAACATCACCCCGCTGCGTTTCGTTCGCTCCAGTAATTTTCCGCCCAATTAACCCGCATGATTTAAACATTAAAAACCTTCGATACACCCGCGGAAATAACGTCCACGTTAATGTTTTACTTCACGCATCGATTATCTCGCTCGGTACATTATTTTTCGCCGACTGACACCGCCGTATGTCTGTTTCAATCGACGATAATTAATCATGTTGGATCTGTGCCCCTTTCTTTTTGTACCTATACGATTAATAAAAACGAAAGGAAATATTCAGAATTATGTTGCGTTAAGAAATTTCGTCTGTCCGATGGCTTCTTCCTTCCTTCGCTCCCGCTTGTGTCAAGCTTCGCGAGATCAGCTTTAACGCTTTAAGCGAACCTGTAGCTGAAGCTCGTTAGATAGCTCGCGAGCTTACGGTGCACGGTATTCCTTTGTACATTGCCGGATTCCCCTTTGCCAAGGTCCAGGAGAAAGGAATTAGGGGAATCGTTCATTTCTTCGTGAAATACACGTCTTTGCTCTAAATTCTCCTGAAGGTGAAAGTGCTCTTTCTCTCTACGTATGTAGAAAAAAAATTGATAAGTATCTCGTCTCGCAGAATGCGTCGTCTTCAACAATCCTACAGTTATCCAGAGAGAATGAAGAATTGCAGCAACAAAATGCGGAAAGCTGAAAAGAGTCTGTTCAAAAAGTAACGAAAGAAACACGGGGACATTGAGAAAGAGATTTCAGCGACGAGGTGAGGAGGGAAAAGACGAGGTCAAGATGCCAAAAAGGTGAGTTCAGAGCAGAGTTCACAGAAGAACGCTGTGAGAATTCTACAGCGCCATGGAAAAGGGAACAAGGTTTCCAAGGAACAGAAGGGGTTAAAGGGAACATCGAAACTGAAGGAGATGGCAAAGTTCGCGAAAATGAAAGCGCTGAAATTAATTTTAACGAGGCTTAATCTCTTTAATTCCTTCCAACCTTTAATCTTTGATTTTTATACAGAGACGCCTCTGAAACGATTAATGTTCAAAATAAAGGAACAGTGAACCGGGAATTCAAGAGGGTGGGGTACAGTGCGAGGACAAGTGAAGTTGAACTGGTGAAGTTTACCGTAGCAGAAATGCGACAGGGCATTATTCAAACGAACGTTGGCAACCGTGGAAAAGTGTTAATATTTACCACGAGCTCGATCACGTTGATTCTTTGTCGTTCTCGCGTACGAATACAACTCGCCCCAATAAATTTTCTGTATCGGCGTCGTTCGTTTGCCCGCGGCCGAGTTCCCATCCCTGTCCGACGTGGCTGGTCCCTTTAAAAGCTCGAGCACGAACAGCCCGACGAAATAAGCGAACTCGACGATCACGATCAGGCTGAAACCGACGAAGATGCCGCAAATACCGCTGGCCTCACCTGCAAAACGTCGATCGAACGGTTAAGTCACTCTCTCGTTCATTAAAATACATTACGAGTTAGAATGCCAATTGGCGAGAAGGATCGAGAACGTTCACCCATTTGCACGATCATCCCTAGGTACGCAGCAAATCGACTGTGAACGTTCGCGAAAATTTACGCTCTTGTGCATAAACTTGTTCTATCAGTGTCTTTCGCGTGTTTCACGTACTCGTGTGCTATTAGATTTCATAAAGGAGTTATGTCTAACAAAGTGGTTGGCCAAAGGACACTTCCTGCTAAAACAAATCAGTAATTTTTCAATTATTTTTTCGTCTTCTTGACTAAAAACAAATTATGCCTGAACTTAAATTCAATTCCAAGTAATAAAATTCAATTCATTTTAATAAGATTAGTTTTCTCTCGTGCTTTATTAAAAACAAATAGGTGAGACGAAACTCTCGGCCAACGGACAAATCTGGTAACAAGATTCGCAACTTCCTCTGCGTACAAAACAAACGAATTATAAATATTTCCATCGAATTTTTATATCTGAAGTATCAAATTGCCAACGTTACACCCACGGTACGTGATGTTACATCGTCGTACGTCACACGGGGCAAAAATATTCCCGCCGTTGTTACACGAACAGTGGAGTTCTCCTAACGAAAAATGCACGTCCTTTATTCCGAGTGCGTTACATTACTTGGAACCGGCGCCGCAAACGTGTGTACATAATACAATGGATCAACTCGTGGCAGGAGCTTGCACCCACGTGCTTTTATTTCCCTGCTCTCAAGTCGCAACAGATTACATTCCCGGTGTAGAAACCTTCGCGTTACGAGCCCTTCGTTACACAATGAAATCGTCTGTATTTTATGGATCTTTCTTTGCTCTCTCGCGACCTCGAACACTTTGCCCTGGGCAATTTCAGCGTCGCAAAGCAAACATTTCGTCGGCAATCCTCCTTCCTTGTTATTTGCCACCTTTGAACACGTTTGTCACGCGTTCGAGATAAAAATCAGACTGTAAATCGAAAACAGGGGGAGGGATGAGATTTGTCTGCAACTTTCAAGAATTTCTTTCCACGACTTTCCATCGATACGCGACGGGCTCGAAATGGCCGAGTCGATTTGGAGAATGATCGAGATGATACAGAGTAAAGAGAATTCGGTCGCTGAAATAATAAAGAACAGATTGTAATACCGAAACAATAAAAGTTTTCGTGCGAGATAACTTTGCTTTCGAAAAAGAATTCATTTTAAATTTTCAGCTGGCGAGCGATATTTTCGAATTAAGAGGGATTTCTGCTTGTATACACGAATAATCTTTAGTCACGTTTGCATTTATTGCGCGAGATAATGGAAGGCACCGGCGTAGAATATTTTACAATGAATTTTATTACTTCGGAGATTGTTGAATTTCCCATATTCCCTGTTCTAAATATACAATTCACTAAATGTTCAATTCATTTTTTAAATCTGTATGGGATTCAATTTTCTATTGTTACATGAAATTTACCGAATCGTTGCGTATCGACGCGAGGGCCATTGTTTCGTCGCGTATCGACGTGAAATTTTATCGTTTCGCCGTTCTGTGGTAACGTTGTAACAAGCGCAAACACAAACAGAGACGTCATTACTTCGCAACGAGGTGCGTTTAACTCTCTTACCAGATGAAATACAATATTTCATATTCGTTCCTCTTTTCTTTTTTTTTTTTTTTTTTTTTTTTT